GAAGATGATGAAGAAGTAAATGTTGAGAATGAAGATGATGAAGAAGTAAATGATGAGAATGAAGATGATGAAGAAGTAAATGATGAGAATGAAGAGTATGCATACTTAGAAAGGAAAAATGATGAACCCAGTGGTTCTGATACAAGTTGTGATTCTTATGCCTCTGTTCATTCAGTGAGTAATTCTCCTGAAACAGCTGTTCAAAACCTTAACCCTCAACAAGATGAGGTATACCTAGAAAATAGGGAAAAGGAACCTGATTCTGAATTAAATTTGGATTATGGTGTTATTTTTCATTCAATGACTGGACATTCTGAATATCCCATTAAAGAAATACACCTTCAGAAAGAAGAGCACATGCACTTAGAAAATAAGAGTGCTTTTGGAAAACATCTGAACCCTGACATCTCTCTTCAGTCAGTGGCTAACAGACCTGGAGTAGTTGTTAAAGAAATACGACTTCAGAAAGAAAAGCATGCTGAATTCAAGGATAAAAGTTCTGAATTTAGTGGTTCAGAACCAAATTTAGATTCTAATGTCCCTCACTATTCAGGAGCTGAACCTCACACAGCTATTAAAAAAGTCAATGGAAAGAAGAAGCGTATTCTAGAAAACAATGATAAACGTAGTGGCACTGAAATAATTCTGGATTCTGATGTCAGTTCTCAGTCAATGAATAAGAAACCTCAGCCAGGTGTTTTGAAGGAGGCCCATGTTGACCCAAAAGATGAAAGCATTGAACCTAAAAGTTTGAAAACCAGTTTGGGTACGAGTATTCCTCGTCATTCAGTCACTGACCAACGTCAACTAGCCCTTTTGAAGGAAAAACATGTTAATCCGGAAAACAAAAACAGTGAATCACGTTATTCTAAAACAACTTTTGGTACTGAACAACTGCGAGAAGCATTTAAAAAAATAAGCCTGCAGGAGGAAGAGGATATTAGCTTGAAAAATAAGATGGATGAACGTAATGGTTCTAAATTAATCTGTGATTCTAATGTTTCTGTTCAGTCTGTGGTTGATCAACCTAAAGTAACTGGTAAACAATTAAACCCAAGAAATGAAGATCAAATGTACTTAGAAATGAAGCACTGCCAGTATAGTTCTTCTAAAATGAGTTTGAAGTCTGATTTTATGATTCGGTCGATACTTAACCGACCTCAAGTAACTATTTCAGAGCAAGAGCACAGTGAGCTGGAAGGTAAACGCAATCAGTCTTGTGGTTCTGAAATAAGTTTTGATTCTGATGACCCTCTTCAATCAGTGGCCGACCAGCTTAGAGAAACTGTTAAAGAAATAAGCCTTTGGAAGGATGACGAAGCTGATGTGGAAGATAAGAGGGATAAAGCTAAAGATTTTAGAATCATGTATGATTCTGACATCCTTCAGTCAGCAGCTGGCCCAACTGAAAAAGTATTTAAGAAGGCTAACCTTTGGAAAAAGCATGTTGCTATGGAAAGAAAGATTATTAAGCCTGGTCATTTTAAAGCACCTCAACATTCCAGTAACCCTCCTCAGTCTGTGACTAATAAAATTCAAAGAGCTATTAAAGAAAGAAGTGTTATGAGAGCGGAACATGTTTGTCTGGATGATAAGGGCTATGAACGCAATGATTCTGAAATAATTTATGTTTCAAACATTCCTCTTCAGTCAGTGATTAAGCAACCACAAATTTTGGAAGAGAGGCATTCCAATTTGGGAAATAAGAGCAGTGATCCTTGTGTTTCTGAAGTAAATTTTGATTCCAGTGATCCTTTTCAGTCATCAACTACCCCACTTCAAAAAGCTGTGAAAGAAACAAATCTTTGGAAAGAAGGCCATATTTACCTGGAAGATAAGAGCTATAAACTAGGTGATTTTGAAGTAAATTGTGATTCTGCTACTCCTGTTCATTTTGTGGCTGGTCAGTCACCGGTGTCTGCCAAAGAACTAGAAAAGAACTACCAATTCTGTGGTTCTGGAATAAAATGTGATTCTGGCATTGATTTTACATCAGAAGTTGACCAACCTCAAGTGTCTTATGAAGAAACAAACCTTCAGAGGGGAAAACATCTTGGCATGGAAGAAAAGACTAGTGAACCTAATGATTCTGAAATGTGTGATTCTGATGTCCCTTTTCAGATAGTACTTAACCAATATCCAGAGTCAGTCAAAGAAACAAATTTTCCAAAAGTGGTACTTGTGGATGTTGTGCCCAGTGAGGGTGATTGTGAAGGAATTTCTGTTCCTGACATCCCTCTTCAATTAGTGACTGACCCACCTCAAATGACTGACCCACATCAAATCAGTTGTATAAATGCAGAATGCATTGATGACGAAGAGAAGAGCAATGACTCTTTTGGTTCTGAAGTAAGATATGTTTGTGAAACTCTTCCTCCATCTGTGACAAGCCAATCCAAAGAGACTTTTAAAATAATCAACCGGAAGAAAGACTGTATTATTCTGAGTGATTCAAATTGTCAGCCGTGTACTTCTGAAATAAATGTTAATGTTGATGCCTCTGATCAGTTCATGAGTTACCAGTCACAAGAGCCTGAGAGAAAAAAGGTGAAATATACTGATCCAGAAGATAAGCACTGTGAATCTGATCATCCTAAAGGAAAAGCCACTTCTGGGCCTGTAACCCGACAGCAAAAAGCTCGCAAAAAAGCCAGCCCTCGGAAAAATCAAAGAAGTACTAGACGAAAAGGTAAGAGCTGTAAATCCAATGTTTCTGCCAAGGACTTTGATGCCTCTTCTGAGTCAGCAGTACATCAATTGGCTGAAAAAGGAAACTTTTCAAAGTCAAAACGTACACATAGAGGAAGTATGAGCTGTGAACCTTGTGGTTCTCAGATGAATTTTCAGTGTGATCCTTCTCTTCAGCCTGACACTGACCAGCCTCAAGAAGCTGTTAATAAAACAGACCTACGTAAGAAGACATCTTTTAATCTGGAAGAAAAGAACCATGGTTCCCAATCAAGCTCTGTTCCCATGGTTGATTCTGCAAGGAACCCAGAAAAAGCAAAGGAGGTTGTAGAAGATAATTCTGATGAACCAGTTCTTGAAGCCTTGCCTCATGTCCCTCCTTCATTTGTGGGGAAAACATGGTCTCAAATAATGAGAGAAGATGACATAAAAATTAACACTCTTGTCAAGGAATTTAGGGAAGGTCGTTTCCACTGTTACTTTGATGATGACTCTAAGACCAAAAATGTTACTCCAAATAAGAAAAAGAAAAGGGTTACCTGGGCTGACCAGCAGCAGAATGCTGCTTCAAATGAAGCTTTATCAGATTATAAAGATACTGCAGGTAGTGCTTCAGAAACTGTTGACCCTTCAGTGGCCTTAGATAAAACATGCCATCCTCCTCCTCCAGCAGAGAGGCCTCCTACACAAGAGAGTGATCAGGTGCCTTCTCCATGCCAGGCTGTGAAAGTTAGCCTTGGAACTCAAACCAATGTTGAGAGTTGCCCACCAACAAAAAGAAAACTAACTGGACAAGAGGAAGACTCACCAAAAAGTAAGCGCCCAAATTCACGCGATAAGAAAAAAGCCAAAAAAAAGGTCAGAATTGCGCCAGTTGAATTACCTGCATCATGTACTAAAATTTTGAGGCCTATGCAATCCAAAGCCTTAGTCTATATTCTGTCTTCTCTGAATATTAAGCTGGAAGAAGGTGAATGCCTTCACTTCTCCAGATTGAAGCACCGCAAGTGGGATAATGATGTTCGGTTTAGGTGCAGATATAAGCGGAATAGCATCACGCATTATGACCCATTACTGAAGGAAATTATAACTAATCCTCCAATAAACATAGTATTGCCAGAGGCAGACCAGAATAACTTTCCTAAAGCTCTGACTGACAGCAACTCCAGTGCAGGAGACAAGGATGCTGGTGGACAAAGTTCTGGGACAATGCCAACAAGAAGTTCACGTCGCAAGACCAAGGGCTCGTCTCCCTTAACACAAAAATCAAAAGTTCCAAATACTCGTGAGGGTCCGAGTTCTGGTGAGGGTCCGAGTTCTGGTGAGGGTCCTAGTTCTGGTGAGGGCCCGAGCTCTGGTGAGGGTCCGAGCTCTGGTGAGATTCCAAACGGAAGTAATTTCCAGCTGCTGCTTTTAAATCGTGATAATACCAAAGCCTGCCCAGGATCACTTCTAAATAGGTTTTTGAGAAGTCAAAAAAAACTTCAAAAAAAAACGACGACTGCCACTGAGTTCCCTGAACAGGGTGTAAAACCAAGCACTCGCCAACAGAGAAAGAGAAAAACATCTGAAAAACAGCCCCTTTGGATTCGGACCAAACCAAGTGATGTAATTATAAAGTACATTTCGAAAAATACTGTGTTTTTACGTCGTAAATATCAATCCAGGACCATTTTTAGTGAGAGTTATCTCAACAAGACAAAGTCTATTGTCAGTACGCCAAAGAACATGAAGAGACAAGCAGAAATGCTTCTGAGCTCCCCAGTTCCACCAGCTCATGCTAAAGAGCCATTAAGTGCTGTAGCAGGTCCTTCAAAGCAGCCCAAGAAGGGCTCCTACCGTGGTACAAGAAAGAAGAATACTGATAATACTGCAAGAGAAAAGAGTGCTAATGTAAGATGTGATAGCAAAAAGGAAAGTCCTGGACCTGTGAAACCATATGCTCTGAGAAGTTTATCTTCTGCACCACAGCCTGACACACGTAGAATTGTGACTCGACTCTCAAACAGACTGAGAAGGTAAAATGAGATAAAATAGAAGCAGCTTTTGTGTTGAGGGTAGTTGAGGATTCAGTACTTCAATTGAAAGATACTTGGTACTTAGTACACACAGCTTTCCCAGTTTTGGTGAGAAGACTAACTTTGAACTATTTTGCTATAAATATTATTTTTCAGAACTTTTATATTCATTTAAAATTAGTGTTTGGAGTCCCTTTTTTTAAGATTCAAAAGCAACTTTTTTCCATCATTTTTTGTAGAAGAGCTTTATCTTAATTTATGTCATAATATAATTTTAGCACAGTGTATAGAATTTTGTCCCACAAATCATGTCCCTTTTATTTATTTTTTATGATTATCTCTCATGCCAGCAAGTTATAACATTTTGAGAATGAATAGAGCGAACTTATCAATACTATCTTATATCACTTTCTAAAGATCGGAACAAATGTATCTGCAATCTTTGTGTTGCAGGGAGCATTGCTAACATAGTATTCTAACTGGATAATTAAAAAGAAGGGACTCTAATGATAATTATCTCAACTTCTGAATGAGGTTGACTTAAACGCGTACAAACAAACCATGATTTGTCTTTCTTGTAAAAGCATTCCAGAGAATGAGATTCTATACTCTTTAATCCAGTTTTCAAAAACTGGCGATTTTATTCTGTAACAAACTCCTGCTTCATTTAAATTGGATCTGCAAGTCTCTGACTTGCCTCATTTGGACACATGCACACACACAGTCTCTTGTGATTTCTCCTTAGCGTTACTGGATCTTAAGGAGAAAATGATTTTGTCAATGTGATCAGCTTTTTTTGTTTTAACTGCCTTTATTCCCTTCTATGTGAAGTGTTGGTGGCTTAATAAAATCCAGGTTACTTTGTGGCCTTATTAAGAATATTTTAGACTTTAGTTTATTTTTTAATAGGTTGGCCTGAAATTATTGGTTTGGTAATATTATTTGGGTAGGTTGTTAATTGTTGTGATTAGTAAATTATCTTAACCTATCTTAATATTTCAAAAAATTGAATAAAGCTGGTAATTTGTGTGGAGGCCATTATACAAGTGAAAATCTGTATTTACACATTTGTTTGTGCTAAACTTGCTAACCAGTGTTTTAAGACTTCAAATAAAAGATGTAATGATATGTAGTTTATGTCTGAAGTACTGAGGGATCTATTCAGAACCTTTATTCGGGCACACTGGTTGAGCAGATATATTCAGTTATCATTTATTCTTGTTAAGCCAAGATCCTGGATCTTTTTCTGTCTGTGTTAAATAAAACGTGAATTTCAACTGTATCGTAAAACTACCTACTACATTTTATTGAAACTAAGGTCAATGGTAAGTTGTATCTTAATTTCAGAAATAAAAATGTGTTATCTTAGCATTAATGAAATATAGTGTAAGCTGATTTCTAAATGTGGTTTTATTTCAGGGGCCATTATTTAACCTGTGGGTATATTTTGATGGAATTCTGTTGTGATTTCTTAACTTCTGAATGTAAACAGTAATTATGTTGAAAAAATGGATGTTTATATTTTTAGTTGCAACCAGTATATATAGCATTTCTTCAGCCTTGCCTCCTCATCTACACATATATTTTAGTTTTCTCTCTTGAAATATCACTGTGGGCCACTAGTTCAAAATAGTCCCTCCAATTTTAATTTGAGAAGAAAGCTCTGTCCTACTGATTAGGTAATAAACAAAAGGATAGTTTATAAAAATATTCCATTTGTGGGTACTGGTGTCTCTTTTCCCGTGGAATAGACACAGTTCCCTTGAGTACTGTTCATGGATGTGTTCTGCATTCTATCAGTGTAAGTTTAAAAATAAGAGATTGTATGGAAACAGTGTGTCATCTGTTTTGATTAAATGTGCAGAGAGAACAGTTCTTATAATTTAAATGATCAAAATTTAAAAGTTACTGCCTTTTTCACATTGGAAGTCCTTCTAAATACTATTAAATTCTTTTATTGATGTAAAATATACATATGTAATTTACCATCTTTGCTATTTTTAAGTTTGTCATTTTGAGAGGGGGCAGGGAAAAGACTCATTTTTAAACTTTATATTATCAAACATAAAGCTGTAATACAATACTGATGATTTTGTTTGACATTTTGGAAATGTTTGCTAAGTTCTTATGATTTTAGATAAGCTTGAAAACTTGAAATTGTCAAACTTAGAGTTTAAGTTAAATTGGAAATGAGTTACTTTCAGGAACTGAAGATGTAAAATGTGCCCCTTTTGTCTAAATAAATGTTGGCTTAATTTGCAGATTAGATAAAACAATTGATGCTTTTGTGTGTTCAAGAATGCATTAAATTCTTCTAAGAGTAAGAAATCAAATTACAACCATAATGAATATTTTATTGATCTTGTTCTTGTTCAGTATCTTGCATAGATTTTTATTGTAATTGTCCTGAGTTATACAGTATGTGGGCAATATTGTGTAAAGTGTGTTTTTGCATTTGTGCATTTAAATTATTTATGTCACTAGGGCTCTGAGTAACACTTTTTTTTTCCGTTTAAAAAAGCTATATTTAAATATTCAAATAATTATATATTTCCATGTAAAACTAATGTGAGACTAATGTATTTTTTATAATGCAGTGTAAAAGCTAAACTTGTTTTTGATGTTATCGAGATAAAATTTATTAAAACGTAAAATTTGTGTCCATTCTCTTTTTTTTTTTTTT